TTCGATCATCGGCTCAAAAAACTGTGAAATTACAAGAGTGAGTCAATCCACTTGCTGGGTGCAGACCTCCAGGTGCCTTGATGTCACGGGAACTTTTTGACCATACCTAACCAAGCTCAGACATTACCGCCGATTTTTTTGGATGAAGTCAGTCCGGATCCTTGATTTAACCGCGAGATGAAACAAACCCACTCAGGCGTTACCTATTTTGCGAGCGCAACCTGGGCTAAATGCGGCTGTGTCGCCTTTAAGGCTCATGGAGCGAATGAGGCGTGACAAATGGGACGGAGCGTGTGAGACGGACGACACAACGGAGCGACTCGTAATCACAGCCCCTGAGTCGTGACAATGCTGCGTTAAATTACACGAATGGCCCACCATCACTCGAGGCTTAGTCACGAGGGGGAGGCATCAATTGCCAAATATGTACACTCGGTGCAACGTCTGTTGACGGATAAAGCGGTGTCCATGGGGGTGCTAAGCAGCACCTGAGAAACAACAACCCCCTTGAAATCAGGAGAAACACGTGCCACTCGACCAGACCTGGTGAGGCGGCTGGGGGCGGTGTTCATCGGTGGTCAGAGTTCTACTTGGTGTTGGATTACCCCAGCAGGGGACCCGTGTCTACGGACCCCCCCTCCCACCCAGAGCGTGGCACAGCATCAAATGACCCTTTGTGCGAAGGGCAGTCGTAGCGAGCGGTTAAGACAAGTACAAAACCGATCAGATCCCATCTGTGACGCGTTCTATACTGCCATTTTACATTTGTATTACTAAACATCGGGGCATCAGATAACATGTAAAGAGCGAGGCGCTTTGTGTTTTTGGCCTTGTTTTATAAATGTCTCACTGAAGGGGATGAAAAGAATGTGGTCGAACGGGAGCTGGTGCACAAACAAGGCAAGATTCGCTCCTCCCAGTTGCCTCTTGCAGGTGAGTTTAGAAGAGTAGCGTGCCCCCCAAATACACAACACGGTTCGTTCTAGAGGATCAGGATTGGAACCTTATTGAACCAAGGAGGGACCCACATATCCCAGAGCACGTCTTGAAACGCGTGTGCAGTGCTAACAATACGCCGCTTCTGCCTGTCACGCAAGCCTAGAATGCGACTTAGGGAAATGTTACATGTCTGGGTTTGCGCACACCATCTGCGTTAGTTCTATTCGCATTGGGGATGCTGGTGGCTCTCCACTCGGCAAGAACCGAATGGGTGGTCGGGCGTTCTCTCTTCAGTGAATCGGGACGAGAGCTTGCGGTGTGATTTGTGTTACAGTTTAGACCTCGCGGTGAAAAATCGAGATATTTAGATTTTTTTTTTAAGTAACCGTGCAAATGTTGCACCGTGGCGCTCGTTTCAAAGTGGCGAGAGCTGAGCTCGCCCCATCGCCACACGGAGTGGCGGAAATCTGCAATCGAATGCCCGTGGTGTGAAGGAGGCGCGATTAAAGCCACCTTGATTCGGCGTTGCGCAAACGTAGCCTTTGGTATCTTTTGTCGATGGCTTTTCTCGTCATTTTACAGATTCGAGTGTGCTTAGGCTGCACTGCACCACCACAAAAACGGCACCAGTAAGCGAACGGACGATTCCAGTAAGGACGTCCTTCAACGCTCGTTCCTCCTCCCACAACCTATTTTACCCTTGATCATATCTACATCACACATCTGTCCCAATGAACATAACAACGACACAGATCCCCCGTATAGCCTTAACAGCCTGGTGGGGCAAGTTCTGGAAGGGAGCACAAATGAAGGCCGGTACGGGGCACGAGGGATTAGGTGGCCAGAACCACGCCCGGCCGCCTTTGTCTCCCAAGTGGCGATGTTAACACACCGCACCAGGTACTCATTTGAGGCCGAGTCGACAGAGAAGAGGCCCGGTTCAGATAATCGTCACTGGTGTTGACAGTGTGCCGCCCCCCCCCCCCCCCCACCATTTTTTTCAAATTAAACAGGAAGTATCTCATCTGACACCGTAGACGTCAAAGCGCGCGGGGGGGCGGTCCCCCCAAAGCACGGGGCCCGGGGCTATCTCCCCTATTCGCCGCGGGGTTTGTGCCCTCGTTTAAAAGCTGCGCACACGGACCGCTGCCAAAATACGTCGCTGTGCGGTTAAGGTTCCTTGTGGGAGTGGTAAAATCGAACTGTCCAACCCCGTGCTTGGGTGGTTCTCGGGGTTTGGACGAAGCACGGGTGGAGGCGCTACGCCGCGCTGCACGAGACGGGAGGCGGCTACGCGCCGTTAAAAGGTGCTCAGGGTGAGCCCGGCACTGCAAAGCAAAAACAATATAAAAAAAAGATAATCTGGGGGGGGGGCAAAAATAATACACACCAACTGCACACAATGACTGGACCATTTTTTTTTTGACAGTGAAGGAAAATAAAACCGGTTGGGCTGGATAGCAACTGATTTGCCCAAAAAAAATGATACGTGAAAATCGGGTCATTAGGTACATCAAAGGACATTGGAAGTTTATTCCAATGATAACCCACTTCAAGGAGGTAATTTATTTCTTTGAAATGTGTATTCAATAACCATTCGAGTGAGCCAGGTTTCCTTTAGATCGTGGAGACAGAGGCTTGGGCAAGGTGGCGCGCACAACGTGCATATACACCCCGTGATCAGAGTTGGTTTCCCGGACACGGCTAACATCAGTGGCCAGTGAAAACAGAACAGGCTCTGTAACCCCCCATCCCTCTTAGCGCGGTCCCTCTCTCTCTCCCCCCACGTTGACAACTCCGTATGAACCCGCATGGTCACGTTTGGCCGCATATTAAATGCAAATCTGAGTTTGTTCAACCCCCGCACCTCCGATGGTCACGGGTGGCAACGTACGGCGCGGAAGAAGTTAAACAAAACACAGGTACAGTGGCAATCGCTACAATCAACACCTGAGACGTTGCCACATCCATGGAAAAGTCTCAAATCTCGATAATAATGACGTGTCACCAGTGTAGAGAGATCCAACTGCCGTACAATGTTTATACAGCCAGGCGTGTGTGTGTGCGGTTTAATTGTCTATTAATAGTCCACTTTTTTCATCAAAAGCATGTCATGTAGCTGCTGCCCCAAACTACCTGCAATCCTCCAAGTTTCGTGTCTCGGCAACTCCATTCTGCCGTCTCTGTCCTCATTTAAACCGACTCTGTGATCGAAATCACTCAAGTTAACAACTCAATGCCCGATGCACAAATTCGAAGGCGACATCGCAGCGATGCACTCCGCTGCTCACGAAGCGGTTGTCTGGGTTTGACCACCTGAATGTGAGGTTGTAGTTGATGCTCCGCATCTCCAACAGCCATACGAAAGATGAAGTTACGTTGATTGGGAGTCCCCACCCAATTGGCCTGCAGGCCCTCATTGAGGCAGAGCTGGAGCCAGCAAGCCTCATCATAAATCTTAAATAACACTGGTCAACAAAAAACATTTTTTCTGGCCTGGACTTTTGCATGCTGTTTTAGACTAATTTCAGGGTGCTGATTCCAAATCTGATCTCAGATTTGCTCTATCACATCTCATTTTTATGCTATCGGCATACCCCATTTTCATTGATTTTACCCGAAATTTACTCCGTCACTTATGATTGCAAGTTGTTGCGAGTCAGTGACTGCTTTAGAGTTAAAATGTGGTGCTGTATTTTTAGGATAGTGTGTTTATAATATCATTTTATGTAGATATCCACATTTCTTTAATATTTTTCTTCTGCAGTTTTTATTGAAAATGTAATATTTGATATATCAAAAACCTGATGTGATAGACAAAAACTGATGCCAGATTTGGAATCAGCACCCCAAAATTACCTTAAACCCGTTGGAATGCCTTATGCCATTAAAAGTGTGTTGACCAGTGTAATACATCACACCGCTATGGACACCCTGTAGTTCATAGAAGGAAAAACAATCCAGGGACATGTTTTTATTGTATAGAGTTTGAATTCAATACAATACAATTCAACCATAACGCTGTTAAGTGATGGCAACAGCAACAAAGAGTATGGACAACACTGGTATCCCACAATCCCCTGGGAGAATTTTGTCTGACGTAATAAACCAATATGACACGCACATATTTCCACTTGTTGCAGAGCTTAATGGTTCACGCACAGTGGCCATCCTGGTTTATATTGTGGGTGCGTTTACCATAAAACAAATACACGCCGCACACCGCGTGATCAATCCTGTGATGTAAATCTAAAACAGAGTAGATGCATTGCATGCCGGCATCACGGTCCAAAGTGAAAAAAACGACTCGAAAATTACTTAAATTGGATAAACTCACAGTGACATTGCCAACCCCCACCATCGACAGACCACTGTGAATCACAGCGTCTTAGGTGATGGCGTTTTCCTCTTAGAATGGTGACAATTATCAAACGTGCGTACACTCATTACTATAATGACGATTCTTCATGGTTCTTTCGGTAAAGTTACGTAGAAGGGAAATAATAAAAATAAAACATAATAAAATACAATTCTCACGACGTTTCGGCCACAACGCAAGCAGCCGTCCTCAGGTGAAAAACAGGTCTGTCGGAAAGACAGCGTCCGACCTGTTCTTCACCTGAGGACGGCTGCTTGCGTTGTGGCCGAAACGTCGTGAGAATTGTATTTATTAAGTTTTATTTGTATTATTTTATTATTTCCCTTCTACGTGACTTTACCGAAAGAACCAAGAAGATGAATCCCTGCAGTCACGAAAGCTTTAAATCGAAATATAATGACGATCGTCTACTTGTTTAACAATAATAGCAGCGCACCAATACAAGACCCGCCACTCGCCACTAAAGAACACTGACGTCACCAAACGGCAGCCCGCCCTGTGCCAGGTTAGGTGCACTTTGAGGCCACGTGAAGCGTCCCGAAGGAAGCCTCTCCGAGGGTCAGAGGTCACGGGACAGACCCAGGGTTAACCAAGCGTGGCTTGGCTTTTTTTTTACCGACTGAGATACACAAAGCCGTGCCAGTCACAGCAGTCACCCATCACGTGCCAACCGCTCTCTCACCTGCGGGCCAAGCGCGAGGTTGCACGACGTTCAGAAAGTAGTTGGTCATGTTGAAGAACGGCTCGATGCTGCCGGGATGATAGCTGGCGTCCACGGTGAGCGGGCTGCTGCTGATGGACGGGTAAACCGACGAGTTGCCGGTGGTCGCCTGGGCAGACATCGCGGGCGCGAGCGCGCACAGAGCGGCCAGGCAAAGCCACGCGGCCGTAGCACGGCGCTGCTGCCGCATGTCCGAGCCGTGGACCAGGGGTCTCTGTTCCCCAGAGTGGGAAAAACAACAACGCGAAGTCTTTTTTTTCTCTCTCTCTCTGTCTCTTTGCAGCGATCCACCTGCCGGATCCCTCGTTTTGTACCCGCGACAACTAAAAAAAAACCGCGTTAGCTTCCGAAAGCAAAAAAACAAATGAACGAACTTTAATTTCCCCCGGGGAGAGTTCGACTTAAATGAAAAATTGCTCACCTGAAGACACGAAAACAAATAAAAGTTGCCTATTTCACAACACTGCGAGACGACGACGTTTGTCCTGTGTACACCTGCCAATTGTCACTTTTCAGCAGCGGAAAATCAAGTTACGATTCACCGTGGCAATCAAGACGACCACGCTGGCTGGCTGGCTGGTTAGGTGGTGGGTGTTTGCCCAGGCGTTTGCGTTGACAGGGTCAAATCAACTCTGTGCACCCTGCGGCCAAGTCCGACGTGGGTGCGCGTGAATTATTCTCGTCCCCTAATCCGCGAACCCTTAAAAGCTCCTTTCAGCCCGCTGAGTCAAGCGCGCAGGAAATTACATCGCTTTTGTCTGCTGTGGGCGGTGGGAGGTGGAGGGAGGGTGGGGGGCGTTGTTACACACCACCTGGACAGCTCCACTCCCTAACACAGAAACACACTGTGAGACTAACACAGCCACACACTGTGAGACTAACACAGCTCCACACACTGTGAGACTAACACAGCCACACACTGTGAGATTAACACAGCCACACACTGTGAGACTAACACAGACACACACACTGTGAGACTAACACAGCCACACACTGTGAGACTAACACAGCTCCACACACTGTGAGACTAACACAGACACACACTGTGAGATTAACACAGCCACACACTGTGAGACTAACACAGCCACACACTGTGAGACTAACACAGAAACACACTGTGAGACTAACACAGCCACACACTGTGAGTCTAACACAGCCACACACTGTGAATCTAACACAGCCACACACTGTGAATATAACACAGCCACACACTGTGAGACTCACACAGCCACACACTGTGAGTTTAACACAGCCTGACACTGTGAGACTAACACAGCCACACACTGTGAGACTAACACAGCCACACACTGTGAGACTAACACAGCCACACACTGTGAGTCTAACACAGCCACACACACTGTGAGACTAACACAGCCACACACTGTGAAACTAACACAGCCACACACTGTGAGACTAACACAGCCACACACTGTGATATTAACATAGCCACACACTGTGAGACTAACAGCCACACACTGTGAGACTAACACAGCCACACACTGTGAATATAACACAGCCACACACTGTGAGACTCACACAGCCACACACTGTGAGTTTAACACAGCCTGACACTGTGAGACTAACACAGCCACACACTGTGAGACTCACACAGCCACACACTGTGAGTTTAACACAGCCTGACACTGTGAGACTAACACAGCCACACACTGTGAGACTAACACAGCCACACACACTGTGCGTGTAACACAGCCACACACTGTGAGACTAACACAGCCACACACACTGTGAGTCTAACACAGCCACACACACTGTGAGACTAACACAGCCACACACACTGTGAGTCTAACACAGCCACACACACTGTGAGACTAACGCAGCCACACACTGTGAGTCTAACACAGCCACACACACTGTGAGACTAACACAGCCACACACACTGTGATATTAACACAACCACACACTGTGAGACTAACACAGCCACACACTGTGAGATTAACACAGCCACACACACTGTGAGATTAACACAAACACACACACTGTGAGATTAACACAGCAGGGTGGTGACACTTGGAGCGCCCGAGAATGATGGCTGGGGGGCAATTCTGCAGCGCGACCTTGTTGAATTTCTTTCGCACCGTACCTATCCAACCGTACTAATCGCAGGTGAGGGCTAGACACAATTCATCTTAAACTATTTTTTTTTTAAAGACGCAATTTTTGTAACGAACGCGAAGCAGACCGAGTGACGATGTTGATCTGTGCTCGGCTTGTGTCTCGTGCATCCTGGCCGAGCCGCTCACCACGCCGTGCACATGGGGAACGTCTGCGACACGACTTGTGCCGACAGATTTGACCGGTTTTTTAAGTGTTTGGGGGGGGCGTTAATCCTTTAGCGGTGGGGGGCTCGCACCCCCCCCCCTCCAGCCCTCCCGGGGGGCCTGTGGGGGAGATGGGAACCTGTGAGAGAGGAGCAAGAGGGATCACTCGGGCTGCCGTTACCAGCTGAACTTTCTGGGACTTAGCCAGTGAGAGACACCCCCCCCCGACACACACAAGCACACACACGCCATGCACACACACACACACACCATGCACACACACACTCCATACACACACACCATGCACACACTCCATGCACACACACTCCATGCACACACACCATGCACACACACACACTCCATGCACACACACACACACCATGCACACACACACTCCACGCACACACACTCCATACACACACACTCCATGCACACACACACACTCCATGCACACACACACACTCCATGCACACACACACTCCATGCACACACACACACACAAACTCCATGCACACACACACACTCCATACACACACACACTCCATGCACACACACACACACCATGCACACACACACACTCCATGCACACACACACACTCCATGCACACACACGCACACTCCATGCACACACACACACTCCATGCACACACACACGCTCACACACGACTCCATGCACCCTGCAGCCTGAGACACGGATTGGCGAGAGGAGGAATCGGCCGGGGGTCTGCGCGCCGTTTCACGCCCCACCGACTCCGCCGTTCATGGCGACGTCCGCGCGGATTTAACCCCCCGGAGTTTCCCATCTGCTGGGAAGAGGACACGACATCGCTCGCAAACATTTTAGTTCTTGCCGACGATCAATAGTCATGTTTGGGGGTTGTAGCGCGTAAATATATAAATGTGTCGTTAAACCCGCCACCACCCGACACAGCCAACTCGTAAAATTTGTCCCGTGAACGAAACGTGCAAATGAGTTACTACTTCGTCAGCGCACCGGTGTGTTGGAGGGTAAACCAGCAACATATACTCGTCGAGAAAGCGTTTCACTGGCGATAACAACCAGCTTCATCAGGCGGCAGCCAGAATTGCGAAGGAGTCTTGTAAATCAGTCAGCAGAATAATGATTTACAATTCATCGTCAATCCACTGCCACATTAAGGCCGCCCCCCCCCCCCCCTCTCATGAAGGTTCTTTGACTGGTACTTTAAAACGATGGTCAATATGGGCTGACAAAGCGGTAGGGCCCATAACCGGTTCAGATTTCACTCCACAACGCGATGTTAGCCATGGCCAGAAATTGAACTCGGTCCACCGGGTTCATGGTGCAGTGTGTACCACCACCTCAACCTGCACACCAGTATCACTCTTCATTTCTAATAATATATATGTATGTAGTACAATACTTGTAGTGTCACGCGTGCATTCTATGCAATGACTGCGTATTCATACAAATGTTAACCAATTTAACCGTGGCCATCTGGGTCTCCCTTTGTAAATACATCATAATAGAAAGATGCCTTGGCACTACTCAGATCATCCTGACAAGCCAGAAGGTGGAGCTTGTAAGCCTCCGCATGAACCGTTAAGCTCAGTGGGACCTCCGCTACGCTCACGGTGATGCCACCCACAACCTTCGGAGCCCGAAGATGATCATGACCCCAGGGACAGGAACGTCTGAACACAGGTCACAGGTTCACGTTTGGTCACGCAAAGAATACCACGTGCACTGTGCTTGCAACATTTCTCGGTGACGAGTGATCTGTCGCGAAGTGTTGCGTAAAGAGGACTGTGAGATGCCAAATGACCGAGCAGGTAAGATTGAGTAACGAACACATTCCTGCGGAGGGAGCTGGTAGGAACGTTGGGTTGCTTGGTCAATGGCCAGGGTCAACGGCGGCGTGGTGTATTCCGCAAATATGGCCGACTGTGAGGGCGGGCACAAGTCGGCGTGAGTAGGTTAAACGTTGAGTTTTATAAGGGCACCACGGGGTGACCAGCCCCTCCCCACCCAGCCCCACCCCTCCCACCCCCCACCCAGCCCCACCCTCCCCACCCAGCCCCTCCCCACCCTCCCCACCCAGCCCCTCCCCACCCTCCCCACCCAGCCCCTCCCCTCTCCACCCAGCCCCACCCCTCCCATTTTTGGATGCACGACGGACGGACGGACGGACACAATAATCCCCTGTGGGCTGGTGTAACCAGGAGGTTCCTACTACCAGTATTATGTTAATGGTGTGTTAAGGCAAGCACGCGCACAAACATGCCCGTAGGATGACGTGAGATGTATTTTTAAGTTGGTCAGAACACTCGCATGGAAAAAAATGTAAACGACCACTGTACCATCGTCACCTATAAGCAGAGTCGAACCCTGACGCATTGCATCTCAAGGGCAAGCGGTTGCCGAATGAAGACACGGGGTCGCACCTCGTTTCACACACAGTGCTCGCCACAAATGAAGCACAATAACTTGCTGATGTCGTCAAGGAGTATAAACCATCATCGTCACGCGAACTCCGGTCCATTCTCGCAGCAGCAGCAGCAGCAACGGCTTTTGGGTGCTAGACCATCGAACAGAGACGGCTGTCACCGCATCGCGCGGCGCTTTCAGACGCGCTTCTGCGGCCGTCTGGAACGCTCCTCCTTCCGATATTAAGAAGCCACTCGGAGCTAGGCACGTTTGACTGCAAGTTGAAAACTCGTTTATCTAGAACTGATTTTTGTTGTTGTTCGATTTGTTGTCCTTCCCCCGCATCAACTGATTAGCACGGTTGGCTACGTACGGTGCGAAAGACGTTCAACATACATACCTGCAAATGCAGCTTTGCATATTACTCACACACTCACGCGCGCGCAAGCATTACAAACAAATATTATTCACTTGCACGCATTAAACACACACATAACATAAACACACAGACTTGTAATGCGCACAGTTTGTTAATGATTCAGAGAAGTGGGAAAGCACAGAGCAAGCTGTAAGGTAGCCAAATCCCCGCTGCTTTGGGCGCCTCGACTCTTCAGGCTCGTACCCAGCACCGCAGCCCTCGTCTCCCGGTGCCTGGCGTTCACACGGCGCAACAGGCGGTCATTCAAGGCCGAGTCGACGTAGTGGGAGGCCAGAACAAGTCGTAGTGCCGTAAGCCAGGAATGCAACGTCACGTCTCTGGGTTTGTGGTGCGGTGTGGCGCTCACCACGACGCATCCGCGCGCCCCGGACGACACATTCGCGCGCGTCAACGCAGTTTGACAGCGGAAAGCGATTGATAAAGCACCCGACTCTGTAATTGACGTTGGAAACGATGAATAGTGGCGAGGGATAATGATTTAAATCGGCGTACCACCGCCCATCCACTACCCCCCCCCCCGTCAGCATGCCACACAGACAGCAGAAGTGACAACGTGCGTCAAATACAATGCCGGAGTAAGCTGGTGCGGGGCCTGT